AATAATAGTGGTAACGATAGTAGTAACAGCCACAGTAATAATAATGATAGTAATGGTAATAATGATGATGATTGAAAAATAATGTTAATAACAGCTAGCGCACTCGATACAGTGCTGAGAATACGAAAACATTAGAAAGCATGCGGCATGAACAGAGCAGCAACGAAGCTAAACGTCGCGCCTCTCTACCCTGAAACTTTGCCTCTCCTTCATGTTACTGTTCAGTAAACAAAAAATGTTTTTAAATTAGTAACAGATTGAAGTCAGTAAAGAGTGAGTAAAATCATGAGGATGAAGACAGTAAGGGAAAAGTGTTTTTTGTATGTGATTTGTAAGGAAATTTAATACAATAGAGAGGAAGAAAGGAAAAATCAAAAGAAATGTTCCGGCGCATCAAATCTTATCCACTCCTTTTTCAGCACCACAACTGAACCTCGTCAATACGACGCGACTGTACTGTTGTTACAAATTATTTTTTTTTTTATTTCTAGAGGTGTATGTACTCAGTCGCCATGCTATTGCATAGTAATGGAGTACTGTCGCCAGGGACAATTATACGAAGTGATCAAAAGTGGACGACATATTGCTAAGGATAAATTTGCGGAGTGGGCTCGACAGATCGCTGATGGCATGAACTATCTGCACCAGAAGCGCATCATACATCGTGATCTCAAATCACCGAAGTGGGCCATGTTTTTGATAAATCTAAAAGTAAATTATATTTGGCAATTACTATAACTCGACTTGCCTCGGCTTGGTGCCATACACGATTGTGAAAAATTTCCTCAGCCGGTGGCAAAGAACGTTGGATGCCGCAGACGGAGTGGGGCTGAGAAGGGTGGCGTCTACGGGTTTTGCGCGCGAGGGTTCGAGACAGGAGGAGGGGTTGAGTAGGTGGGTTGAGTGGCTACATGGAGTGGATCCTTTGACGGTTGGCTAGGCTACATGAGGGAGGGAAAGAGGAAGTGTGCTCCTGGTTTTTGCCACGAATACCTGAGGTGGGGAAAGGGCTGAAATATTGCTAGTTTCCAGAGTGCTCTTGCAGTGCGGACGGAAAGGAAGCTCAGATGTTGTTTTGCGAGCAGGATTTTGGGACCGAGTAAGGAAGTAGAATGAGGATAAAAGTCAGGAAATCGAGGCAAGAACTGGCGACAGCAGTAAAGAGGAAAGACAACACAGTAGTACAAAACAAAAAAATAAATTTAAAAAAAAACCTGAATTTGTAGAAAAAAAGGCAAAAAAAGCGAAATCAAAGAATCGGAACGTATATGAATAAAAGCTAAAGAAAGCAAAAGCAAATAAAAATTGAGAAAGCAAGAGCAAAAAACAAATAAGGAACTTATATCAAAGCAGAAATTTATGAGTGGAAGTTATCTTACAAAAACTGCTCTTCAGTAAGAAGCTTCTTATTTATTAAGCTGATGCTTAGGCAAGGTTGGGAGCTCTCAGCGACACCTGTGTAGCTTTACATTATTTTCTATTAGCCTTGCCTAAGCATCGGTTTCATAAATGGGGAGGTTCCCTCGATGTTTTTTTGATAGAACAGTTTCCAGTTGCTTAGACTCAGTTTTTTTCTTTTGCTTTTACTTTTTTTCTGCTTTTTATTCATAAGTTCACTTTTTTTTATTTTGTTTTTATTCGTTGGTCCAGGTTTGCTTAATTTTCCTTTTTTTTTTATAAGGCTTGTTTTTTCTTTCCCTTTACTGCTGCCTCCACTTCTTGCCTCGAGCTTTTGACTTTTATCCTCATTCCCCTTCTCTGCTCTGTCTCCAAATCCCGCCTGCAAAGCAACATTTGAGTTCCCCTTTCTCCCCACTGTACGAGCAGTCTGGAATCAATCAGTGTTCCAGCCTTCTCTGAACCATACATGCCCGCGGCAAAAAACCACCAACACTTTTCCTCTTCTTTTCCATTCATCATTCCTTCCCGTCTTCTCCCTGAATATACGTGAGCTAGCCAACTGACAAAGCATCTACGCCGTGTTGCTCTTAAATCCGTCTATTCTAGCCCTCTTTCCTTGCCTCGAACGAAACCCGCAGAAAACTGCCCCCTTCCCGCCGCCCGTCTCCTCCTCCCTCCCACCTACTACGTTCGAACTGCTACTAATCATCGTAGGGTGACACCATTTGCCACGTAACATTGTTATCGTGCAATAAATAGAGAATTCGACTACGCCGATGGGACAGTCAATCTCTCTACAACTCGACCACTCAATATTGGTACTAGCACATGCGTAAAAGTCAGTGCCACCATCAAAATGCTTCTAAGTAACCTTCAAAAGTAGGAGCCATTGACAGGCTTGGCATCAGGTACTCGCTGATGATGCTTGTTGACGTTCGGGTTACTTTGGAACATCTTGGTTTTTCAAAGAAAGCATATACGAAGGAAGCTTTATCTTCTGACAAGACGTTATGGGAAGAATAAGCAATTTCGAATTGGCATTACTAAGATATCTGCATCTGTTCGTAGTCCAGAAATGATAGCACTCAACAAAAAATGATGCAGACTTACAGCTGGTTTTTTTTTTTTTTTTTTACTGATTTATGCCACCTACCGGTTTATCATAGGAATGAATGAACGAATCGTAGAGGGACTGGTTATCCGCAGCAGCGGCGGAGACGAATTCTCAACTTTCGACATAAGAGTGGCGCTAATTGCTTTTTTTGCAACAGTGTCATGAGCGCTTTAATTAGTTTACAGTTTTTTACAGCATACTTGTGGACGACAGGGACACTTTGAAAATTTGTGATTTTGGTACATCACATCAATGGGATAAGCAGAAAAGCACGGTGATGTCATTCTGTGGTACAGCTGCCTGGATGGCGCCCGAAATCATCAAAAAAGAACCATGCTCCGAAAAAGTAGGTCGATTTTGAGGAAGCGAGTTTTTCCGAGATTAAATTTCAGTTCATTTGTAATATCAAGAACACGGAGTATATCCGGAAAGTCGGGGCGGGTATCCCATATTAGTGATAATTATTGAAACGCCGGGATGCGATTCTGTTAGGTCCTTCGATCTTTGGCTTTTCTAAATACTTTATTTATAATTATTTTGTTCATTTTAGCCAGTTATTTTAAGTTAGTCATTTCTACAAATTTAAGGTTGATATTTGGAGTTTCGGAGTGGTACTATGGGAGCTGCTGACGCAAGAGGTGCCTTATAAAGATGTTGATTCCATGGCAATTATTTGGGGTGTTGGTTCAAAGTAAGACTTTGGACTGCTTAAGACTTTTAAGTTCTTAAACTTGCAGTACTTAATTTGGTTTTTCCACCTATGCATCTGGCAAACTTACACTTACTTTGACCAATTCTGCATTATTTTGTGGTTAGCAAGCTGCTGACAATCTTAAATCCTGGTTTTATCTTTTAGAGGAATTGCCAGCTCAACCGTTCTCTCAGCAAAAACTCGTGGATTTTAAATTTTAAGTTTTGAGATTTTTTTTTAATGTTTGCTGAGCATCAAAATCTCAACTTTGAGTATTGCGAGTTCTAGGATAGCTCTTCTATTAGGATTTAATGTTTGTTATTTTTGTTTTTATTTTTATTACATTTTTTATATTTCTATTCTTTTATTCATATTTCTTGCAGCAACTTAAGTTTGCTGATACCTACCACAGCACCTGAGGGGATGAAATTATTGTTAAGACAGTGCTGGAGTATCAAACCGCGAAATCGTCCATCATTTATGCATATTTTAACACATATTGCGGTTTTCAAGGTAAAATTTCGATAATTTTTCAGTAGAAACTTGAAAATTTTGACTTAAAGAGAGTACATGAGAGGAGAACAAAGCCGACTCCAGACAGTCGATGTGGGAATTTTATGCTAGTTGTGTAATTGGAAAGCTCTCAAGCCCCAGACGTAATAGTTGTTCAGCTGACGGCTTTTTTTTTGACTATGGTCATGCTCCTTCTATACTGATATCATTCCATATCGAGTTTTAGTGGATCGGCTTAGCTGCTGATGGCTTTTCTTACTGCTCCTTAACGAATCCTAGTTGATTAGCGATTCGCCCAAGCATGCTGGTGGCCTTCCTACCATTATTTCTGTGATACATCATAAATGCATTTAATTATTCGTTTCGTTCGTTTGTTGTATAACCAGCCTTTTAAAAAGTTTTGTTGTAATTTACCAAAATTTCAGTCAGAAATTGCAACCATAACTGACGAGGAATGGACGGCCAAAAAGGCCCGCTGGAAAGCTGATGTCATCGAATACATGAAGAGCATTCGTCAAGAGAAACCGGTAGCACAGCAGAATAAAGATGACAGTGGTATTTTTCTTACCCATTAGTTTTACATTAATTTTTCTAACATGTCGGTATCGGGGTTCAAGTCTAAAAAAGTATTTCTTCCGTGATCAAAATCCCAGTTTAACGAAGAATTAAGTGGAGAGGTATTTCACTCTTCATCTTTAAGAACTCGTAGCGACTTGAAATAACTTGGTGTTTGGGATCTTTTCTCTCTTTAACCCCATAACACAGGCATAATTTTTAACGGACTATAAAATTTATTTTGCTCCACACCTGGATACTTTGATCGGCTGTATTTCTTGGTGTGGTTCTCCGACTATGCAGTTTAAGAATTTTTCAGTTGTTTTGACCAATACTGCTTCGTCCAGTGGTCATCTTGCTGCTCATGAACTTAACGTCTTTTTTCTTTTTTTTTTTTCTTCCTGAATGGATTACCAGCTCAGCGATTTTCCTGAAAGCACCGCATTACTCCAAAAGACGTGAATTATTCGGGTCTTTGCATTATTTCACTTCCAGCTTCTCTAAGATTTAAGGGTTCTTTATGTGACTACGAAATTTATGCGTAAAATTTCAAGTTGTTTTCTGGTTGGGAAGTTATAATACCTCAGTATTATGCTTAGAGTTGCCTGTGTTTATTTGTTATGGACGAATTTCCAAAATTTGTTTCAGTGGCATACCAGGCTATGCTAGTTTACCTGACATGATGAAATTCATACAATTTTTAGTTTGTTTCTAATAAAACCTCAAAAAAAGTGCCTCGTTGTACTTCATCGTGACTACTATATTATGGGGAGTTTGCTAAAAAGATAATATGTTGCATTTTTAAGAACTCTTTGTGATTTCTGATCGTTTCTATGCGTTTTTGCTGTGCAG